CCATCCCCACCCCATCCCCCTGTCCCAGTTCCCCGCTCACGGTGTTCCCGTTGGCAGCGTGCGGCTGTGACCCCGTGGGCTCGGTGCGCGATGACTGCGAGCAGATGTCGGGGCTGTGCTCCTGCCGGACGGGCGTGACGGGCATGAAGTGCAACCTGTGCCCCCACGGCGGCAAACTGGGCACCGCCGCCTGCCAGGAAGGTGTGGGGCACCCCTGGGACTGCCCCTCCTGCTCCTTTGGGGTTTGGGGGCTGCAGGAAATGGGATTTCACTTCCTGTAATTGGGATTCCCAGATAATTGGGGTTGTGCTTCCCATATGGTTGGATTTAGGTTCCTGCATCACCGGGGTTTTGGTTTCTGTTTGTTTGGGTTTTGGGTCCTGTGTAATTGGGATTTTTGTTCCCGTATAATTGGGATTTTGCTTCCTGTGTTTGGGATTTTTGTTGCTGTTACTGGGATTTTAGCTGCTGTAACTGGGATTTGGCTGTAGTGACTGGGATTTTGGCTGCTGTGACTGGGATTTGGGTCCTGTGTAACTGGGATTTGGCTGTTGTTCCTGGGATTTTGGCTGCTGTAACTGGGATTTTGGCTGCTCTAACTGGGATTTGGCTGTTGTTCCTGGGATTTTGGCTGCTCTAACTGGGATTTGGCTGTTGTTCCTGGGATTTTGGCTGCTGTAACTGGGATTTGGCAGTTGTTACTGGGATTTTGGTTGCTGTAACTGGGATTTTGGCTGCTGCCTGCCCAGGATGTTCCATGCATCGCTGCTCTCCCTGTCCCCAGACCCCACAGCCCCCAGGTCGTGCGAGGAGCTGAGCTGTGACTTCGGGGCCTCGTGCGTGGAGGTGAACGGCTTCGCCCACTGCGAGTGCCCGTCCCCGCTGTGCTCTGAGGCCAACATGACCAAGGTTTGGGGACGGCGCCTTTGGGGTGCTCAGGGAGGTTTGGGGTGCTCAGGGAGGTTTGGGGTGCTCAGGGGTGTTTGGGGTGCTCAGGGAGGTTTGGGGTGGGCAGGGGT